TTTATTATTATAAAATTGAGAGAGGTGAATGGGTTACCAAGACTTGAACCAGTCAAACCTTCTAATTGTGAATATGTCAACAAATGAAATCGTAATTAAATTATATTTATGTAAACTCATTCAGACTTTGTCCCCTCTCAACTCATTTCTCTGGTCCCTTTCATCTCCCCCATTCACCATTGCTAAAAATGCTTCCTTTCTCCATCTTTCTCGAGTAAAGTAACAATCTTTAAGACTTTCGGAAGCACGTAGGGAAAATGCATTCTCACCCATTCGTGGTTTGTTTACACAATTTTGGATTTAATGTAGTCTTTTGGTTCATGGTCCCAGAAGTGGTGAGCCTTCAAGGTGCAAAGGCAAGGGCAAGGTGGCTGAAGATAGATATTTGAGGACTATGTGTGTTGCATTTGAGGTTTGTCAAACCCTAAATTTTGAAGTGCCATACGGTTTTGCTAAAGATTTGGGTTATTTTTAATGACATTGGTGTTTTTGGTATCTTTTTTTTTTGTATTTAAGTGTGTATTTTGATGCTTGTATGTTGTGAAAAATGTTGTTTTAATGTTTAAGAAATATGACTCAAGTTAGGGATAGACGCATAATTTTATGTTAGAGTGACGAATTTATAATACTGTAGAAGATAATAAATTTATATAATTTTAAGAGTAAAATTATATTATGGATAGAATATGTAAACAAAATCTAAAATATATGTTAATTTAAAATTTTAACTCGACTCCCATATAATCCATCGCTGCCTAAATTTGTGTCTGAGCTTAAACAATGTGCACATGAAGTATGAGCTTGATTTGAAGGAGTTAATATGAGAATTCTTGTTGGGGGAACCTAAGTTTAGGGTCATGATTATCGATACTCAAATTTAATTCTGAGGAAAAAAATCAATGGTGTATCGTATTCATTCTTAGAGTAATAATAACAGTCGTATATTAACCGTAAGTGGTTTAATTAATACTAGTTAATATTATTTAAATAATTAAATAATTTAATTGATAAAAAAAATTCTTCCACGATACAGTAACTACTCTATCAGTTAGTGTTAATGGAATTATTTTGAAGTCGATGTGATATAACATCGCCACAAGCCCTCTAATTAGAATAATCATTTAAAAGACGAGGGAAAATATGGTTGCCAAAACGGAAAGGAATTTATTTGATATTTTTGCAAATTAGTTCTACAAATTACATTTCTAGACAATCTGGTCCATTTTTAACTCTAAAATAAAGGACAACCTGGATTTGCAACAATGCCATAAGACATGAGTACTGCTCATTAACAAGCATATGCTATTAGTATTTGTAAAAGAGGGGGGAAACCCTAGCACATGCTAATAGAAACTTTATTTTAGTGATAAAAGAAATATTTTTATTTTTAGAAGATCGAATTTAAACAATTGTATTTACAAAATATGTATCGTCAATAGTAATATAAAAAACATGTGTGCTTATAAACTTTTCATATTTATATTCAACTCACGTGTTATAATCCCTCCATAGATTGTCTCTAATCCATTATTTCCCAAGACCAAACTTCATCAACAAACCACCAAAGCTATTCGGGTTGGAGGAAGCCCACGGGGAAGAAAATGGTGAAGGTGAAGAGTTTGTGAAGTATGCAATGGAAGCAACTTTACCTATTGTATGCATGAATAATATGTCTGTTTTTTTTTTTTGAAAATTAATCCTCTTATTGTTAAAATTTTTTAAGTTATTTAAATTATATCTTGTAACTCAATTTAAATTTAATTTTTTTCGAATTGAAGACAATAAAAATAATTCAAATGTTTTAATATTGAATCGAAGAAAATAATTTTCTTTTAAGTCCAGTCGAGTTTTAATATGAGAAATAGAAGGGGGGGGGGGGGATCCTAAAAAGAAGGATTGGGGTGGGCCAGATTTAAGTGTTGAGTGAGACTCGGTGAAGAGATGGTTTAAAATCCAAACCTTCCCACTCTTCTCGTATTACACCATACTATAAACTGCAAATCTACTGTTGAAGATTCTGTGTATGTTGCCAGAGATTTGAGATTCTTGGTCAGAAATGGAGGACAATGATTCCTGGGATTCCCCATCTGAATTCACCTTAGCTGAGGTAACTCTCCCTTCTCTCTTTTCTGGGCCTTTTTAACTTGTTAACCGCCATGAATTCCCCACTCTCTTAACCTCCGCATCTTAAAGTTCGTATTTTTTATAATCAAACAAATGTGAGCGTCTTGCTCCGTTTTAATTTTTCTTTTTGTTTGTTCCTCTTGATCATCCCTCTTTAGTCTGCATGCAAAACATAGTTGTTTCCCTGAACTTTCTTTTTTATTTATTTATTAAAAAGGTTGTCCAAATGGAGAACCATTACAAGGCAAAAGGAGATGAGACACTTAATGAGGAGTTCTGCAAGAAGCTAGCTACCAACTTTAGGTGAATTAAAAGGGGGGAAAAACCAGTACTCGATGTGTAAATGTTTACTTTTTTATTGAAAGATTCTTCTATTTTATTAATGAAAAGGATGGTTTTTTTTTTTTTTAACTTTTGGGGTTTGCTTTGTCTTATCAGATCCTCTTCTAACCGTCTGGGAAAATCTAACATGGCAACAAGTTCGTTTTATTTAATTGAAGGGATGGATTTCATGGTAAGTTCATATCCACATTCACAAGTATGTTCTGTTTTCATTTTTTAGGTCCAACATTTTTTCCAAGAAAAACAACTGGAGAAGCAAACTGAACAAGATTCACCAGCACTGGCCATTGAACTTTTTGTTGATCTTTCTGATGCAAACTCAAGCAAACCGCTAGAATTCATGCAAAGAAGAAAAGGTTTCACTTATTGCCATTAGAAATTTACATTTTTAGGGCAATTTATTGGTGAATATCTGGTAGTTATTGGGGAATTGTCCTTTGATTCATACTACATGGCCCGGCTTTGCTTAGTATCACTTGGTACATTATGCATAGTGCTAAATTGAGGTTCAGGCTGCGGCGTGGCAGTTGTGGACATTATGACGTGATTTGTTTCTTAAAAATAACTGTGATTTTAAATTGTGGTTCCCCCTGTCGCAGTAACCTTGAAAGAAGTTAAGATGCAGCCGTTACGATGCGTTGACGCTGTAGTTTAATACAATGACATTAAGCAGTCACTTTCATGAAATTTAAAAGATTTATAAATGCAGAAATATTGTAATCATTGTAGAGCTTAAAAGCTAAAATCATGAAAGTTTAAACCCTTACCAATTGACTGCTACTTGTAAATTTGGCCGGGATGCTTATTTATGGGTACAAAACATTCAACTTGTGCTTGTGGATGCTTTCTTAATACCCTTCATTTAAATTTCAGTTTAGAAGCAGAATTACTATCGCGATTAGCCCACATCCTTGATAGAAGTATGTCAACCTAACTTATCATTCAAGTTGGTTCTTTTTCAAGACAAAGTCACCATGTAGTCTTTTACAATTGAAGCCAACTGTTACAATTATCACTATAATGAGTAGCCTGGTGTCTAACATAAGTGTTTTATCCAACTTGCAAAGTTCTTGCTCCACCTTGTATTTTCTGGTTGAATCTGGAACTGAAATTTTTCTCGTATTGGTTGTAATTTTGTAAGGCAGGTACAGCTGAAGATCTTAGGGAATTGTCATTTGAGGCCAGATCGTCAAAAGATTATGCATGGTGAGGAAATTTCTAGAGACAGTCATGCAGAACACATCGAAATGTTTTTTATGTAACCTTCGAAGAAGCCGTTATTGATTCAAAAATTCAGGTTTAGATTGGATTTCAGCTAACTAGTTTATCAAGAATGCTAAGAGGGTGTGCAAAATAGGAAAATGATTGAGCATCCATTATTAATCAAGTTGTGTAGAATCATGGGCCATAAACTGTATATGGTGCTTGCGACTTAAACTAGTGCATATAGCTGATATTTCTTTGGCTTTCAGGTATGATGTTGAAACGTTCCTCAACTATAGAGTCCTATATAATGGTGAACTTGTAAGATTCTTTTACAGATTTTGTATTTTCTAATATAAAGTAGCTGGAACCTGCTTAAAGCTTGGTTCCTTTGATACTGATTAAACTATGAAAGGAGCCTGCAAGTGATTTGATACAGCATACAAATCATTATATATTGTAGGAAGTTCGTGTACGATTCTCTGGGTTTGATAAAGCAGAGGATGAGTGGGTGAATGTAGAAACTGCAGTTCTTGAACGATCTATTCCTTTAGAACCTTCTGAATGCAACCTGATTAAGATTGGAGGCCTCGTACTGTGCTACCTGTTATTTTCCTTTTTCTATGTTCTGTTTAAAATATTCTATTGCTTTTTGTCACCATTTGATCTCGTATGTGGTTCCAACACCGTCCGGTTAAAAAATGTTCCGTATGCTTAAGCAGAAACTGAAGCCTAGTTACCCCGCATTAGAAAGTTAATCAAAGAGACATTTACTTTGCCGTTGTCTTACCATTTCACTTCCTTTGATTTATAGTATAAAGAGTATTATCAACTTTACTGTGACGCCCATGTTATAGATGTCAAAAGGCAGACACATGATGCTAAAAGCTGTACGTGCGTATTCGTGGTCTGTTATGACCATGACTACTCCGAGGTACATGGAACTCAATAACACACTTTTTCTATCTTCTCCCTTTGTTTTTGCTTGCTTGCATTCACCATGTAAGGCTTACATATAACTGCAATTTGATGTTTTGGATTGTATTAATGTTCACAAACATTTGTCTTGTTTACGTACCAGGAAAATGTTCCGCTCGAGAGGTTATGTCGCAGGCCTATTACTTGAAAGCAGTTGTGCAGAAACAAATTGAAGTCAATTGTAAGCAAATCTGTTTGCATGCTCACAAAGAAGAGCTGGAAGGATCCTTCATCTGACCTTGTGCATGAAACTTTGCTTAAAGTAACAACTTTTTATTGAGGGGTTGATTTAAATAACTAATGAATAACCAAAAATTGGTAAAATTTTCATTTCAAATGCGGAACCAGATAAATAATGAGAAAATTTTCCATTTTGGCAAATGCCCAAAACAAAAGTACTCGATACTAGGCAAGACTTAACAGACTGACCTATCATTTCCAGGTTCCGGGGGATGGAGGAATGCAACTAAACTGTTCAACTACAAGTTTCTATACTTTAGTTACAGTTGATTTGAAAGCCTGCACTGCTTAAAATTTCTCTACACCCTCATCGATCCAAGATGGAGGGCTTGGTTTTGACCATATGGATAGCTAGTTGAGAAGTTTGACAGGCCCGGATCTTCAACCATGTCACCAAGGAGATCCTAAACAAAAGAATGGGGCAGCTCATGAGACGGTTTGTCCATAACAAACGGAAGCAAGGTAAAGATTCCTCGACCACTTTTCCTGCAATATTGTAAAGAAACTTGATGAGTTAAGAATATGAAAGCCAAATGCTACTAAGGTTCATATAATTTATCAACCTTCACATGAGTGCTGGGGAATGCTGAAGTTCTAAGGGTTTCCTGTGTTTCAACTGCTGCCCTCCTTCTTGGCACACTGAGGATAAAGGCAGCCTGGTCTTGAGTCGCTGCAGTAGCAGTTATACGATACCCATTATCCCACCGACGATGGATGCCTTCACTAGGATAGTGGAAGTCAAGTTCAACAACCTAGAATGAAAATACAGAAAGCACTTGGTTACATAAGGTTCTTTTAAGGGATGTGCCGGGGCATAAATGATGTAAAAACCCATCATTACCTGGTCGATAAATCCAGCACCACGAGACATAACAACTGCCCATCTGCTACCAGAAGTGGCCATTGAGGTGACATAAAAACCCTCTCTCCACTTTTTGTTAATCCACTTAAAAGGAAAAGAATCACACACTTTGTATGACTGCTGCAAATACGAAGTACCTGACACAATCGAAGCTGAGTGAACCGAAACCAAACAGATTTGATTGAAATCAGATACAGTAACCTTACCCTTTGACATTACTACCAAGGAGCCTCCATCTGCAGACCCTGCTATACCGCTGATATAATAGTTTTTCTCCCACTGCTCCATTATCCATTCCTGAAGACAGCAAAACATCAAATCAATCACTAATAGAATCTGAATTCATAAGCATCTTCTAAACAGGAATATAAAAAGGCATAGAAGAGAAAAGTAAAATGGAACACAAAAAACTAGAGGATTGCTCAACATCAATAAAGTATATGAAAAGATGTACCTTATCAAGGAAATCGGATGAGAGTTGAACGACTTGATCAGAGAATCCGGTACCAGCATCCATTATAACAGCCCATAGGTTTCCACAGGAAGCTACAGTGCTAATAAATAAACCATCCTCATTTCCTTTCTCAAGGTGCTGTTCAAGCCTTTCATTGGACACATTATAGTGATACCTGAAAACATGTCCGATTAGACTTCCCATCCTTTAATATTCTCTATACTGAGGTCTAGATCACTAATCAGTTTACCCCTAGATTTAAAGTGTAGAACGATGACAAATGCAGACCGTAAACGACGCTGGTATGAAATTAACCCCAAAAAAATGCAAAAAGAGTCATAGGATTAAATAAATTAAGAAAGCAGCCCTAAAACTGAACTACAGAACTACAAATAACTTGAGGCATAAATACCTTTGCTTCATAGGCCTATGAGCATTGTAAACACTAATCCACTGCAATGCTGGCATGCCTAGACGAACCTTCTTCTTTGGTTGTTCATCTTCCTCCTCATCCATAGACAACCGGCCTCTCTTTAGACCAACTTGATTAATAAGCTTTACAATAATATATATAAAAAGAAGTCAGGAATGCCATATATTACCGGCCAAGGAAAGGTAAACAAACTTTATTGGTAATAATTAACGTTTACTAACTTTTATTAGTACACTCTTATGGTCAAAATTACTTTGACAACCTGAATAAAGCCTAGTGCCAAAAAAACTCTTTAAATCGACAGAATAATTTGTACCTTCAGTGCACCTTCTGTGTTAACTGGGCGGATGTCTGGATTTGGACCAACAATCCCATCAAACAGAGATATGTATTTTGCATAATTAGGTTCTTCATCAAACTTTAAGTTGACTACATATTCAATAAACTGTATGAAAGGCAAAGGACAAAAGCAACACAAGGCCTCTGGAGATGTTGACATCTTCTTCTTGCAGACAAGGAACCCTTTATTGTCTCCCTGACATTTGTTAAAAAGAAATTACAAGAAAAAACCTAAATGAATATATAAACGAGCAAATGCAAGCAAGAATATTTTGAGTTAGAAAAGTTGAGCTTATTAAAGGACCAACCTGGTATCCTTGCCAAGGTAAACGGCCTTTAAGAAGGAAAACAAGTGTATATGCAAGGGATTCAAGATCATCTCTCCGGCTACAAGTTCTCCCTAAATGAGCATGCACACTGGCATAACGGACTGTTCCTCTAATAAACAAAAGTACTCCCTTTAAATAAGATAATTAAGCAGGTACACAAAAACATCTCACAATAATCATGATTTAAGCAGTTGTGGTACCTAAAAACATCTGGTCTCTGGTCATATTCAGCATGTAAACCTGTTGAACTATCTCGCCACCTAGTTGCTGATTGGCAAAACAGGTTAGGATTAATGAAGTGATGATTTATCTGGGAGTACTTAACATATAAATCATAACACTAAAAATTACCTAATCCAAGATCAACAAGAAATAATTTTTTTTCATCAGGAGTCCCAGCATGACCTAGAAGAAAGTTCTCAGGCTTTACATCTCCATGCACATAGCTGCCCAAAGTACCAGAAAAAACTATTAATAAGGTGAAAGAAACAAATCGTACTCAAGTTAAGAACTAAAATGTTTGCTGTTATGAGAGATTGGCCATTAGAGATCCAGAGGATGATTCTCATGTTAAGCTATTCAACAATCCAGGGGAGGGTAGGGTAAAAATGCTTTTCCGGCCAACATAAGGTTAGAAGCTTTCAGGGATTGAACTGCTTACCCTTTAGAGTGCATCTTCTCCAATATAGATATTGCTTCAATAGCAATGCAAGCAACCATTTCAACAGACATTCTGTATTAAGAGCACACTCTAATTAAGCAACTGAAATTTCAAAAAAAAGACAACATAATAGCAAGTATAAGATAAAGAATACATCTTAGTTTAGTAGCACTCACGTATGATTGTTAATATTCCAAACATCCCACAGACTTGGACCCAGCATATCCATAACCTGCATAATAAAAGGCAAGGCCTAAATCAGAAAGGTGTTCAAACCTGAACACTAAAAGCAGGCAAGATTTAAAAGAAGAAAAGAGGAACAATAAATAAGCAATGCATACCATGATATAATAGTTACCCTGACGGCCCTTATAGTGTACTCGGGGTATACCATGAGTGCCACCAAGTGTACTGTAGAATGACGAAGCATCTGTAAATGCGAATAGGCATATGCATAAAAAAATTACAATAAACTAGAAGTGTAGCCAGACTCACTTGTAAACTTGCCACTCATGTGGCGGTCCATAGTTACATCCTTTGCTACTTTTATGCTCAAATTTCAAGGCAACCTAAAAACAAAGAGATCATGTAGAGTGTAAACATGAAAACTTTTTGTTCTCATTGAAGATGATAAAGCACAATATCTATTAAAGTAAAAATTAAACAATGGCATACCTCTACAGGCCCAGAGACATTTCTATCCTTTGTATTTACTGAAGAAACACACCGACCTACAAATACCTGTCCAAAGCCACCCTTGCCCAACTTCTTTTCAATTCTATACAATGGGGATCCCCCAAATTGAACCTGCAGTACGGTGATCATTGAAGCCTAAGAAGATACGATAAAATAAAAGGTCCTAAATAAAATCTTTTTACCACAGATTGTAGATCCAAATGTGTACTACAAAAAACACACACACAAAAAGCAAGAGCAAAATACAAAATATTTAGGTTCTATAATTTTATAAAATTTAAAAAAAGGAAAAAAAAAGGTTTTTCTGTAGAATGATTCCAATTGCAATCATTTTCAATCAACTCAAGATAGAACAAAAGAAAATTTTAATTGATACTGAAATAAGTTGTATGAACTAAATCAAATACTGATTCTTTATTTTTATGCAATGAATTTTTCCATTTACGTTGTATACATGTGAGGAGATGATAACAAAATGGAAGAGACAAATTCGTAAAAAGCAGTATTAGACAAATGGTCAGTAAAAAATAAGACTGTATAATTAGGTACAAGTAATCTAATTGTTATAGACCAACTCTAGTCAATCCTTAGAGGAATAATTCTAGATCAGATTAAATTTAAGATTGAGCAGTCAATTTATTTTATGTAAGCAACTGTAGTATTAGATATTGACTAGTGTATAATGTATATGAACACAAAATATAACTAGTCCAGCCTAATACTACGGATTAAGATAGGGATGCCAGAAAAAGAATAAAAGTTTGTTTGCTTCGTCTTTGACTCTCAATTGAATAAATAAAAATTCAAGGCAAAGAATAACCGGATGAGCAAAGTATGCACGGATTCAAAAATATCCAGTCTAACAAAGTGGCAGATTGTTATATAAGCTTTTTTTCTCACACATGATGTGAGCTTTAGTTCAACAAATCCAAAAGATCAAAAACACACATTATGTTTCTCTCTCAATGCTCTATGAATTTTAACAAAATATGTCCAGCAGGTTCCATAAATATATAAACATTGTTTTCTTCACTAATACAAAAGTCTAAGGCTAAAACTGAACAAGTACCCAAATCAATAACAATGTATAATTCCTTCATATTTTTACCAAAAGAATCTCCCCTAATCAACCCTCACAGTTTTTAACATCCTTAACAAGTAAGTCAAGACCGAGAGGTGAATCCATTTACAACATCCAGTGAGACAATTAAAACAGATTCCAAATACTGAAACTTCGATAAAAGAAATGGAAGCCAGAACTCTTTCATATAAGTCTAGACTCTGTACTTAAGACTAAAACCAAAGCCAAATCAAGTTCATGTAGGTTGTTTTTAACAATCCTAAGATCAAACTAATTCCGCAAAGAGAGAGAGAGAGAGAGAGAATCAATTAATCTCACAGTTTTTAGAAAAAATATAATATATGCTAATTTCAAAATAGGAAACCATAAAAAGCAAAAGATAGCAAGGAAATCTCAAACCTTTTCAGGAATCGGGGCGGTGTTGGCTACATCCTCACCGGCATTCCCCTTATCACTGCTCCGCCTTCCTCCGTTATCGAACCCGTCCATCTCCTTATCCCCGATTTCCTCTTTCTCCACTCTATCCCGTTCCACTAAAACCCTATTATTATTACTATTATCATTGTTGTTGTTATTCTCCTTCTCCCCAACTGCCGCCGCGACAGCTAACTTGTCATTGCCCCCCTGCGCCTGCTGTTTCGTATTCTTATTCTCACCGTCGCCGTTGTTATTGTTTATCACAGGCTCCTCGTCTTCCGCCGCCGCAGCAGCTTCAGCCGCCCGCCTCCGCCTTCTAGTGCGCGTCGCGATCGCTTCCCCCTCCTCGACCGGATTCGGCTGTTGTTGTTGCTGTTGTCGCTTCGGTGCTGCTGCCCGGCCCTTGCGTGCTCCGTTACGTTGTACCGGCATGGTTCATTCTTCTTCTCCCTCGATTCTCATAAATCACAAAAAAGAGGGAGAATAAAGAAAAACCCAAAGATTAGATTTTCGTTTTTGTCTCTTTCTCCTCTTTGCCAAACAATCGCCCAAGAATGCCTAAATTACAGCGCCCTTTTTATTCAGGGGAAAAACAATAATATATTTAATTATTGTTACTAATTACTATTAAGAAAATTACAGAAAAGAAAGCCAAGATCTAACGGAGAAAGGAAATCAAGAATTCAAGAAAGAAAATATGGAGATTCGATGATTGCGAAAGTTTGAGATCTGTGTTGTACAGACTAAAGAATAGGGATGGCAACTGGCCGGGTTCAGGCCGGTCGGGTATTGGTCTCCTTTTTTTGTTCTCGTTTAAAAAATTGGTACTCGTCCCCGTTTAAAAAACTGTGGGGATTTAATCGGGGAAAACCGCGGGGAAACGGGTATTTCCGTTTAGCATAAACGGTTATTTAAACGGATATTGGGCCGGGTATTGGGTAGAGTATTGGGTCAGTATTGGGCCGGGAATCGGGCCGGGTATATATATATATTTAAATTAAATATATATTTTTTATTTAAATTAAATTTATTAATATTATATATATATAAATAATTATTTTTAATATTTATCGGGTCGGGTATCGGGGCGGGTAATCGGGTAATCGGGGCAGGGATTACCAAATCCGTCCCCGTCCCCGTTTATCATCTCCGAACCCGACCCGTTTAATTCGGTTTTCGATTTTCCTCGTCGGGTTCGAGTTTTTTTGCCATCCCTACTAAAGAAAAGGGATTTCCTTTTTCTTTTTCTTTTTCTCTTTCTCTTTCTCTTTCAGCTTTTTTTAAAATTATTTCTTATGCGTTATATAAAATTTTAAAATATTCGGGCAAAATAGAAAATAATAATTTGGAGGTATAATACGCGCTATCAGTTGGATTTATTTGTTTTTCGGGTAAACTCAATGTTTTTAAAATCGGATCAGATATTGAATCGGTAAAGGTACTAGTTCATTGGTTCAATCTGATTTAATCGCGATTGAACCAGATTTTATATAAAATAATATTTTTTTAATTTTACATATTATTCAAAGCAATATTAATATATATGTAATATTTTTTTTAAGTTTATAATATTAAAATGCATAAAAATATCACAAGTCATAACATATATAAATTAAAAACCATAAAATCAAGTAAAATAAAATGATTTAAATCAACTACAACATAATATTTAAGGTAAAACATATTAAATAATAAATATAATTATATAATTATAATCAAAAAAATAAATTTGGGGTTGAAAAAAATCACAACAAACGATATCATTTGGTTTAATTTTTTTTAAATAATCTCACATGGCTAAGAAACATAGAAGAGCATCTCAAAAGTTTAAAGAGTAAAAATATGAGAACAAAACAATCTCACATGACTAAGAAATATAGAAGAGCATCCCAACTGACTTCTATAAATAATAGAGGTAATTTGACATTCAAAATCATGCAGTCTTTTGGTGAGCACAGAGCGAATTATTCTTTCGCTTCAATCGAGCTCGAATTTTAGGCTTCAATCGAGCTTCTAATTTTTTTTTGAGTTCGAGCCTTTTCGAGTTCAAGTTTCAATATTATATTTCTAGTTCGAGTTGAACTTGATAATTTTTAGCTCGTGAGTTTTTAAGTCGAATTGAGCTTACTTTTAAAGTTTTTGAGTTCGAGTCGAGCTCAACAATACTCGAGTTCGACTCGGCCGGTCCGGTCCGGTTTTAATAACATTGGGTAAACTAGACAAATAACCATACAAATATGAGCCAAGTCGCGAAATGATCACTATTTTCAAATTAACGTTAATATGACCACTGAGCTATTTAAATGTTTTCAATATAGCCACATGCCTAACACTTGACGAAAGTGTCTACGTGGTAGTTAATAAATTTAGTATAATTAGGGCATGAGTCCTTGTAAAGTTATGTATTCATAGCGTTGGAATCCTGTTTTGTTTTCTTCTATTTGGGTCATTACTTGTGTATGATTTGTTTCCTTAGATTTTCATTTAATGCAATTTCATCATGATTCTGTTTTTAATTTTTCTAATGCCTTAATTGAGCATTAATTTTAAAATCTTTTATTCTAGTCTTGTATTAAATTTGTAGATTAAATCCCCTAGATTTTAGAATTAATCAATTTGATCACCAAGATTAACTTTTATTATTAATTTTTAATTAGGTCCTAATTTCAATTTAATTTAATAAGTTTATTTCTCCAATGAAATTGTGACACATTTCTGATACATGCACCACACACCCTAAAGCTAAGGATGATGAATTTACTATACCACTTGGCCCTATCACACGAGGTCGGACCAAACTTCTTAAAGACAAGCTTCAAATCGCAGTTCAAGCATTCATCCATAAAGGCCTAATAGCAGCAGATTTACAACAACTTTTTGAAGGGGATCCAGTTGTTTTCCGGTCAACATGTCTTCTGGAGATACAACCAACTTTTTGAAGGGGATCCAGTTGTTTTCCGGTCAATATGATATCGGGAACTTAAGATACATTCAATTTAGTGAAGACAACGCATGCAGAAATTCTTATACGAGATTAATACGTGATTTTGTAAATATTACGATTTTTCAATATTTATATTGATTATTTGTAATATAATTTAATATAGGATGATACATTATCTTTTAGGATTAGATTTATTATTTTATTAGGAATTAAGGTTTAGTTAAAAAATTATTTTAGTCATTATTATTTTATTAGGAATTAGAGTTAAGACATGTTTAGTTTGTTATTATTTTATTTATTAGTTATTTATGACCTTTAGAGCTCACCCCCATATAAAGGAGACTTCACTCAACTTTGTAAAACAAATTTCTTTGATTAATAATACAACGAGAGTTCGTTTTTGCAAGTGTTGATTGTCTTGTGCCTTCGAAGCTTCTTCTCCTGGAGTTCTTTCAAGTTCTTGTGTGGGAGATTAATCTTCACTCCAATTTGTCTTTCCATCGCGACTGGGAGGGTTGGTTAGAACCATATTATCAAGTTTGCCTTTTCATTGCGACTATGAGGGTTCGATAGGACACTTAGAGCCATATTATCGAGTTTGCCTTTTCATTGGGTCTGTGAGGGTTTGATAGGACACTTATCCATCTATTTTCCACAAATTCATCCTCACCATCATCATCTTTATCGTTCACCTTCATAAGGGAGCCACCTTCTACCATTCATCTCCCTTTGTTCTTCATCAGGTCTAGAGCTTTCTAGGATTGATTCTTCAACAAGTGCAACGTTCATTAATCTGCCACCACTTCCCTATCAATTGGTATCAGATTTGGGCTGATTCTTGGTATCAGATTGGTATCAATTGGTATCGTTTCAAGTTCTTTTTATTTAATTTTAATTTAGATTCAAATCCTTCTTATTAGTTTATTGTTTTTTTAAAAAACAAAATAAAAAACCAAAAAAAAATACCAAAAAAATCAAAAATTGAAAACAAATGAATTTAAGGTTGTTTTTCTCTAGATCTCATATTCATCCTAAGATTAATATCTAGTCCAAAATACATCCCAATCGGAGTTCATTAGAGCCTTCAAATACATCGTTCAAGTTTCATCGGTAAATTTGGTCTAGAATCTTGTCAAATTTCTTGAAAATTCTATAGGAGGAATTTTGTGGTAAAAATTTCTAGATTGAAACTAAATATATTGAAGATCATTAACAAAAAAATCAGAATTTTTGGAGATCAATAGCACATTCTAAAAAAAGCGATCACGAAAAACAGACTGTCAGAGGACTCATCGTTCAACAGAATCTACTGAATACTACTGAAGGTATTTGGTTCTGAAAATTTACAGGTGGTTTCTACACACATCGAAAAATATTAAATAATTTTTCCAAAATTTTTGGAAATCGGTAACCCCCTCAAAAACATTGCTCAAGTTGACCCAACGTTTTCTAGGTTTCAAATTTGGTTCTTTTTTTCTTTTTGACTCTTAGTGCTTTAAGTTCTTTTGTTTTCCTTTTTATTGTTCTTTTACATTATCTAACACATTATCTTTCTTGTGTTAATAGGACTAAAGAGTTTACATACTTCTTCCTTTTTTGCATTCTCGTTCTCATGGAGTCTAAACCTTGTTTGGCCTCTTAGAGCTTTTAGGGTTTCTTATCTCCTTTGCTAGTAATCAAACTCCGATACGAATTGTGGAAGACTACTTGGTAAAGTGAGTTTTAAAGAGTACAAGATCGGCTTACTTGCCTCTCGATGAGTTACTTTCTTGGAGTGACTTGTGAGGTTTCTTGTTTTGTTGAATTTTCTTTTTTTTTTTTTACTTTAAAATTTTCTTTTGAGTGTTGTGATTTCAGGATATGTGACAATAAAAACGAGACACTTACGACTATCTTAACCACACTTGAACGACTCACAATTCAATTTGAAACAAGATTGATCAACTTAACAATGACGTGAGAGAACGACGATAATTACAACTGGATCTACCAAACCAGAATCCAAGACCAAATAATGATGAACTTTTAGCCCCCAGGCGAGCAAGACCACGTTTTCAAACACCCAAACTCTTTACAAAACCAAAGTTCACGATCACATCTTTCAAAAGAGACTACGATTAGGACAAGTACATCAATTGAGAAAGAAAAGTTGATCTCATGTTCGCATACCATGACTGCCCCCAAGCTGAACAAGTTCCCCTCATCACCTTGGAATTCGAAAGATATGCTCACACTTGGTGGATGCAAACAAGGAAAAAGATCGACAACTTCCAAATTCAACCAATCACTTCTTGGACCGACCTCAAACAAGCCATTAGAAACTGATTCCTACCGACACATTATATACTAGAAGTTAAACAACGACTACATCGACTTCGACAAGGTAGAAGTTCAGTTGAAGATTATTACAAGGAGATATATTCCTTACACAATAGGGATAAGATAACCGAAGAAGAAGAGGACACCGTGTCAAGATTCATTGTCGGCTGAAACTCAAACATCAATGATCTTCTTGACCTCCATGGGTACGAAAACCTTGAAGATACACTAAAGAAGGCAATGACAATCGAAGCACAAATCCAAAAGAGAATTTGATTTAGAGAACATTATCAAGGTACTTCATTCTCTTACCAAGGTAATTCTTCAAATCCTTCCTCATCTTCTACTCTATATTCTCTAAAAAAAATAAAAAGATGACAAACCCGAAAATGAGAAACAACGACCAA